CTCGGATTTTACTGGTTTCTCCGTTGTATCCTGGGAAGCAGACGCTTATACTACCTCAAGCACGTACGGTGAGGGGGCGAATCTGTTTTAAGGAAACAGTGTGTAACACAGGCCTCGGGTTAAAAGTTTTTATACAGTTTTAATCACTTGTTCTTGCTCGATCTACATATTAATGTTTTGTAATTATTTAAATTACCTGTTATTTCTTACTGCAATCAACGAATCATTGGATTTGTTATATGTACGATTTAATCTGTTATGATATATAAAATCAGTGTATCTACCACTACATATACAGTATCCATACTGTAAATCCGGTATCCAATCTGCATATACGGTATCCAGTGTGTAAATCCGGTATTTGATTTTGAAACAATCTTCCTACAGACACTATATTTTCTCCTCTTATCCATTCAAGAGTAGGATTCAAAAGTCAAATGAAGCTTACGGTTTCTTCAAGAAAGGTGGATCCTTCCTGTCATTCCGGATAAGAAAAACCACTAATACCTCCGAAGAAACCCAAGAAGGGAATTCAGGCAATTCGAATCCTTCCTGTTCTTTATTTTTCTTCTTTTTTTGTTTTTATTTAAATAGAAGGGTATATTGGTCATTTTATGTTAAAAATATGTGAAAATGACGTTTTCAGCAATAAAATGTTGAAATATGGGTGAAAATGTCAAAAAATGAAAGATAGGGACGTTTTGCACAATGACATTGAAATGTAGGAATGTTTTGTGCTATTGACCCTTTTTGAAAGTATTGAGATGAAAAGTTAAAAAACTTCCTTATCTTATTTTCTTGGGTAATTTTGAAAACTAAACTACTTTTCTTTAGAACATTGAAAAATATCCCTTTTTTCTATTATTTGATTTATTGTGTTCGGTATTAAATACTAAACAAATACTATAGTGAAACAAGCAATATTCTAATTTCTTTTTCATCTTTAATCATGTTTTGTCTTATCTAATCCAACATACTAAGAGGGTGTCGGTGGAGATTAAAATTAGATTTTTAGTAAATTGTGATAGAAATTTTTGAAATGTGTGGTTGAAAAATTGTGGGACCCATAAAAGATATGGTTGATATTAATTGTTTGACTTTGATTAACCTTTTGAAAGTACACAATATGATGTGGATTACATAGACGTGCAAGCTTATGCCTCACAGATCATAGCATTGATCACTATTTTGTTGCATTTAGACAATGAAACAAATCAAATCCACCCAAAACAAAAATAAATAAATTACGAATCATTTTCGATTAATTTCGTGACGCTAATTTCAAGAAAACATTAAGGGAATACCATGATTTGGACTTGGAAGAAAGTGATAATTGAAGAAAGTACAGAGAAAATTCTTGTATTTTTTGTCTGAAAAAAGAAACCCCTTGAACTGTAATAAAATGGAGGGTATTGAAAATAACCTGCAACACTTTCTCTCTCTCTCTCTCTCTCTCTCTCTCTCTCTCTCTCTCTCTCTCTCTCTCTTTCTCTTTTTTTTTTTTTTTT